GATCCCGTACTCGGTTCTCTGGCAACTGAGAGGAAAAATAAAATAGTAAATAAGGTACTCTCTTTATCAAAAGTTACCAGATTTAATTTGTGTACTCGTATTGCGCTGACAAAATTATCCAGCAGCATAAATTCTGATAATTTAGCATCATTTGCTCTCAAAGAGACAAAATATCAGTGTGCAAACCCCCTCTTATTTTAGTGTGGTAGAATCGGCAAAAAAATTTAGATTTGAATAAGAAGTGGTAGATTTTCCAATTTATATTTTTTATTGGGTATACATATTGCGCACCGTCGTCAAAAGAGGCACAACTCAAAAATTAGATCGGGAAATATAAGTGCTAGTGGGTCGTACAGATTCAACACAATTGATGCAAAAACAAGTATAACACTAGTTTTCTAGTTAGAAAACATAATCATAAAGAAAAAAACATTTTCTTATTAATTTGTGAAAAATCATACAGATTTATTTATGCAAAAAAATCCACCAAATTATTTTTCTATAGCAAAAATAAATATGCGGATTTTCGAAATACTAAAAAGTTAAGGCACAGATATATTTAAAGCAAAATTTATGATGTACCTTTTAAAAATTTATTGATTAATTTTTATATTTCGATTCAGTATTGCCACTTGACAATATTTTTAGGTACCAAAACGACTACCACATCAGTTTCCAAACTACCGAAATTGGTTTCATTATTAAAACGAAATTTCTTGAATTAACGAGGTTTTTCGCTACACGAATTAGCATAAAAATTAAAAATACACACAATATTGTTTATAGTATTGGTTAACCATTCATCGTATTGTATAAAAAACTTTTGTAAACAAGTAATTTTTAAGCAAAAAACAAAACCGATTTAATTCTCAATATAAAAATTGAAGACTATCGTGAATCTCTTCATGGTCCACAGATCGGATTTAAACCAAATTAGAATGGGACCACCTGTGAGATAACATCTTTCCTTTAAAAAAAAAAGAATTATAAAAATCGGTTAACGTGGTCCAAAGTTATGCGGTAACATATATAAAAAATAAAAAATAGAAAAAGAAAAATGAAATAAAAATATTCCGACGAATTGATAACCTTCCTCCTTTTTGTGAGGTCGGTTAAAATTTTAAATACCTTTGAGATTAGTTGTGTTGGTTTACAAATTATCCAGTAACTTTCCAGCAACTCTCCAGTAACTTTATTTCTAAGAATTCGCTCTCATAGAAAAAATTCCAAAAAAGTACGCGAACGCTATTCCAGTAATAATTTGCAAGTTTCATGAACAGCTGATAAATTGGTTGTTTATTCGCAGGAATTTCCTAAAAAAAGAAAATGTTTTATATTTAAATAGGTTTAGTTTGTGAATTTCAACAATAAAACAAACAGTTTCCTTAATAGTTTTAAATTTCATCCAGCAACATGCGATCAGCTGTTTCTCGTACTGGCAAATTCTTACAAGTAAAAATTTATCCAGTAAAATCCAGTAAAAACTTACAGCTTCAACTGTCATTTTCCGCTCTCTCAATTTCCCCTACTTTGAAGTTTTTGCGTACGAAAACGCCAAAACATGAAAATTCGTAAAAACTTTTATTGGAAATGAGTAAACAAACGCAATTATTAATTCAATTAATATCAAACGCCTTTTTTTTGTATGTGAAAGAACAAAATCAAACATTCTATGCATTTCAATAAAATAATTTCCAAATTTGTTTCAATTTGCATATACTCGCACTTTGCAGATTGCTTTGCAGTTTTTGTTTGCAGATAGTTGTCTGCTTAATAAAATATAGAAAAATAAACAAAGATATCTTATATGTGTGAGCAAAGTGAACAAATCTGAATGCTCAATTCGGTTGTATTTTCAAAACATTTTTTCCTACCAAAAGCTTCATCAAACCAACCAAACTACCAAAGGAGAATGAAGATACCAATTTTGGTCCAATTGGACCAAAACGGCAACGCTGTTTCGATTAGAATTGAGTTGAAATTTTACGTGAAAATTGTAAACAAATGTTCTTGACACCCAAATTTTAAAAAATATGTGGTAGATATACCAAAGGGCGTAGTAAATATAAACATAAAAATGAAGATATTAAGTGGCTGCGTATATTTCGGAAATTTGCAACAAATACCATATTTCCAACCGACATTATTGTTAAATTAGTCCACAGATTTAGTGAATTAAATTTGTGTAATAAAGCATGAACTGTTGTCTACAAATGTGTGTAAAAGGTTTTTGAATCGATTCACCCGTTTGGGCACAGCAACCCAAAATCGTTGTACAAATTCATAAAGAGTACCCGAATTTTAGGATAGTGCGTACGCGAACAGCGCTTATATACATATATGTACATCGAGTGGAAAATGTTCAATGAATCGAAGCAAAACATCGATACTTTCGGTGCATCGATGTTTTTCCGACATTCCTAACTTTAATTTATCAAAACTAATCTTTAATGTATTTTAATCTTTGTTCATTAGCTAAATTTTTTTAATTATACCGGGATGTCAAGAAATTTATGCCGCGCGTGCTTACTAGAGAAAAAAATATCGGAGCTTTTTGATTGGTACATATTAATGGATAAAGCAAACGAACCGTTGACATATCAGGAATGCTTTCAAATTTGCACCCAAGTGGATGTAAAAAAAAGCGGATGCTACATCATCTTATGTTAAGGATATGCATTTCCTTTGTCAAGACTGCATTCAGGAATTGATAACTTCATATCGGTTTTTAAGAAAGGCTCAAAGATCTGCACAAGAGCTATATGCCTTAGCCCAGGGGCATTATAATTTAACTGACAATAAAATCAATGAGTTTGAATATGTAAATATTCAAGAGTTAGTTAAAAATGAGGATTTTATGGACAATTCATCGGTGTGTAACTTCATTCACTGTGATTCAAACACAATCAACTATCGTCTTAATTTTCTTACTCAGCTAATAGATACTGGAGGCGACCTTAAATCAGGAAAGGAATTATCGATATTATCTTATAAACACTGTTCTAAAAATCATGGTCAACAAAACAACGAAGACGGTCCTTGTGGGAATTCTTTGTTGCAATTAAAAGAACCAACTCATCAAATAACGCAAGGTTTAATAACATCGAGTCTTCAAGAATTTGCTCTTTCGAAAGCCGATCGGTCCTTCAACAGCCCTGAATGTGAAGAAATCACACTGGAAAAGGTATTATTAGTTTGTCAATATCTTCACTTCTAATAATAATTTTTTATTACTGGAAAGGTCGAAAATGGACACGATGCACCATTTGTCTCAATATCTGATTGCTTAAATGAAAAAGATACAACCATTATTGATAACTCCAAAAATAAAAGAGTAAGAAAGAAAAATCCAAAACTAAATACAAGAGTTAAAGAAGTAGCGCAACGGAATAAACCGTGTTTAAAATATAAGGAAATGCCTTGTGAGTATTGTAATAAATTATTTCCGGAGAACAAATTGAGACAGCATAAATCGCGTTATCATAGACCTAAGATCTTTCTTTGCGACATTTGCCGTAAGTAAATTGCAGTATTTGCACAGTTCGTAGGCAAGTAATATTTTATTTTGGCAGCAAGTTCATTCAGTATCGCCAACAATCTGCGACGACACCAACGCACGCATGATTTAAATCGTCAACGAAACTTCTCTTGCAACGAGTGTGGGCGTAAATTTTTTACGGAAGACGTCTATCGGACTCACATCAAAACACACCAGTCATCCCGTCAATCTAAATTTCACTGCACTCAATGCGATAAAGTATTCCTGCACAAGGGCAGTCTCACCCTCCACATTCAGAAACACGGTGAACCCAAAAATGAATGTAGCGTTTGCTTGAAAAGATATGTTAGAAAAGTAGATTTGGAAGTGCATATGCGTAATCATTCCGGGGAATTGCCATATCAATGTCCATTGTGCGAAAGGGCTTTTATGACTACCAGTGCTTTAAGAAAGCACGAATTACTTCATAACGGTATCCGGTATAAATGCGGCATCTGTAACAAAGAGTACTCACACCCCTCAAAACTTAGCCGGCATCGCTTACATCATACTGGTCTCCCATTTAAGTGTGCAATATGTGACAGAGGATTTGCCGAGCCCAATAAGTAAGTTATGATTTCCCATTTTAATATATTTACTTAGTGTTGCAGCATTATCTTTCATCCTTAGGATACGAAGACATATCAGATGTGTACACAAAGTAGAAGACGATTCGCAAATCAATAAACTCACCATCAAGGTGTGAAAAAAAATTCGAACGTCCGATAAGAGAGCCAAACAGTTTATATTAAGATTAGTTGTACATATATGTATGTATATTTATTGGGTTAGGTTACCCTTGATGGTTGCTAAGTTTAGTTTAGTTTATTAGTATGCATTAAAAGGCAAACATTTTAATGATAGAGTTTGGCATTAAAAATTATTCCTTATTACGTTAAGAAATATTGTCAAGTTCATTTCGGCTCCGTGAATTATGTCCGCGCGTATTAAAACCGCGATCCAAAAATGAAACTAGGCCGCTCGAGCATAATTCATTTTGACTGCCAAAATTAGGCCGCGATCAAAAACTGAATATAGGCCGCGCGGGCATTAGCAAAAAATACCAAAAACGAAAAAAAAAAATTTTTTTTTTTCATAAATAAACTTTTTTGAAAGAAATGCATAATTAATTCTAAGGAAATTTATATTGAACCGGTTCACTTTTTGGTTTCCATGGTTTTACTATGGGCGGATGACAAATTTTCGGGTGATTTTTTTTTTTCAGGCGAAACTCGGGATAAGGCAGATTATTTAGAAAATACGAGTAATTACATTTAATTTGATATACATATATAAAACACCTTTCTGCGTAGGCGGCCTTCGGCCGCGCTTAGGCATTATAACCCTCCCTAAGTATGATTCTCCTTTCTGTGCTGCCGAAAAGAGGGGCTGAACACCTTTTGCAGAGAAAACCTTTCTGCGGAGGCGGCCTTCGGCCGCGCTTAGGGATTATCACCCTCGCTAAGTAGAATTCTCCTTTCTGTGTTACCGGCGACGAGGGGCGCGGAACACCTTTTGCAGATAACACCTTTCTTTAAAATGAAATTAGGCCGCGTGGGCATAATTCATTTTGACAAGTGAAATTAGGCCGCGCGGAAATAATTCATTTGGCAAGTGAAGTTAGGCCGCGATCAAAAAATGCAATAAGGCCTCCAAACAAATAAGAAGGCGGCCTTAATCTCATCGCCCGTTCATTTTCACATGAAATTTTTTAAATGTCACCATTTTTTCTCATATTAATTAATGCCTAGTGGAAATTCGGCTTAACACTTTATATACATACACAAAAAGCTGCGCTAGAATTGCTCGATGATGCATTAAGATTTTGTGTTCCATCTATTTGTCGGTTGGCTCATTAATACATCCTTTCGATTGCGAACTACGGTCCGGTTTTTCAGTACCAGTTTAAAATTAGTTTAAACCAGTCAGCTCAAGCGTTTAAACTACCGCGGTGCACTGAAAAACTGGCCCTTATTGGTTTTACCGCTTTCTTTTAGTGAGGCTTTTCCGTCTTACTCATTATTTTTTATTGAAAGCATCTTCAAACATGTACGTACATCTGTACATAGATATTATACGTCGGCATCGTTAAGGATATATGTATTCTTAAATAATTACAAAATTGATATAAACAGCTTTTACCATTATTATATGAGTTAAAATTTTATTTATTTTCAACTTCTGGTTTCTCCAAAACTTCGACTATTCGTCCTCTATATTCTTTTGTTATGTTTATTCTTACAACGAGTTTCTGCACCTCCTTGTCTTCTTCAATTTTGTGCACACCTCTTATATGACGCTTAATCCTGAAAAATTATATACATACACATATACATATATGTACATGTAGGGCATAATCATACTTTATTACTAACTTGTAAGCATCTGGAAACTGCTTTTCACAAACGCCACATTTATAAGGTAATCCAGTGTGTTGCATGCGATGATTATAGTATTGATCATATTTGGAGAATTTAGCACCACAAATCACGCACTTGTAACTAAAATATCCATGGTACTGCATGTGCCTATTTAAAATACGTTTGTGGATGAAAGATTTTCCACACAGGTGACACACAAATGGCGATTCTCCAGAATGAGTGCGTAAATGAACATCAAGGTCTATTTGCCGCACATAACGTTTTTGACAAACTTGGCATTCTATCGTAGCTCCCTTGTGATGGAGCTCGTGGATTGTTAGACCATTTTTATGAAGAAATGATTTTTCACACTGAGCACATTGATATATTGGTTTGCGGTTGGTTTCGTGCGTTAGCCTATGTTTTTTGTATGTATACGTAGTTAAAAAGCTTTGGTTACAGATGTCGCACGGAAATCTTTCCCGATTCTCATTGTGACAGAGCTCATGATTTTTTAGGGCACATGACTCCTTAAATGTTTTGGCTGGCGAAGATAAATTCAACAAAGATAGAAATTAGTCCACGAGTTAAAAGGAACGGAAATACTTACGGCAGGCCTGACAAAGAAAAGTTTTTGGTTTATGACGTTGCTTATGTTTTTTTAATGAGCTTCTCTTCATGATTTTCCCACATTCTTCACACTTCACCGGCTCAGACATGTCCTTGACTTTCTTTTTTGTTTTCACCTCGGATTTTACTTTGTTTGTTTTCTTTACGTTTTTAGGTCTTGTATGAGCAAGATTGAGTTGTTTACTTTTTTTCGATAAGACCAGCCCAGCTTCATTTAAGTTATTGCTGCTCTGCATATCCTTATCCGATTCAACTAGAAACTTTGTTGTTTTTGTAGTGTCAGTACTAAGTTTTTTATCAATATTTATTTCGTGTTCGATATCATTTGATGCAGATGTTTCATCATCATCCATAAAATGTTCATTCCATTCTGGTGATACTTTTATATCCTCTACGTGATCCTTGTAAACAAATAGAAAATAATTATTGTTTAATTATATCTAAATCGTATTTGATATACCATATCTACAGTATCTGGCATCTTAGTTACTTCCATTAGCTCTTCATGTACTGGAACCCATTCAAAAGTGTTGGCTATACTTTCTATCTTCACTTTTTCCGTTTGTGTGCAACGTAATTCATTATCAGCCCTTCTCGCCTTTTCAATAAAATCATAAACGTCTTTAAGTTTTTGGGCACAATCAAAGCATAGATATTGCATCCGGGCATCATCGAGTTCATTTGGATCATCTTTCAAACTTAAATTAATTTGTGTACATTTACAAAAAACACTCTTTGTATGATATATCCAAAGAGTCAACAGGCTGATACCAATCTAGCAGATGCACCCGATCTTCCGGCGACAAACAGGCACGGCATATATTTGATAAATCCATCTGAACTTTTCACCACTGCCGTATTGATAATTCAAGTTTTAGTCGGTAAAAAATAGTTTTGTAGAATGTGCGATTATATATTGGTAAGACAGAACAATTTGAAAATAGGGATGTCGAAAATATTTCGATATAAAAAATGGTACAATTTTAATGCTTTTAAAAGTCGACTGTCCGACAAATCGATTTCTTCGGTAGATATAGTGATGTTCCGATATCAGCACTTATTAAGGCCTGTATGCAGCTCTCAAGAAAAGGAAAACTACATATAAAATGACGTACAAGAAATGGCTAAGAAATTTTCTTGAGTCAAATTTACTTAAGGCAGTACGCAGTTCCTAAGAAATTTACTACGCTTTCTACTACGGTTTTCTAAAGTTTTTGTGAAAAAAGAGCACAAGGCAACCCAGGTTTGCAACAGAAATATATGCCCGTTCCATTATTTCTTGAAGAAAGAGTGAGGAAACAGGCTGTGAGGTATCAAAAATGTCCAAATTCCTTGGACACACACGCGAAATAAGGGCAATTTATTCTTGACCGTTTTCTTGAGAGCTGCATACAGGGCTTTAAGTTGAAATTAGTGAAGATCGTAAACCTACCGGTACGTGTTCCCCGAGTCAGCTGACACGATTTGTCTTACCAGAGCGCCATGTAAATGAAAACTCAACACCGCAGAATTTTTCTTAGTTGTAGCCCGTAGCGCAAAAATCTACGGAAGTTAGATTTTTCAGTGACCGCTGATTTCTTCCTTCTATAGATGGTTGCCACTTCGTCAGTTTCGAAAATGGTAAAAAATATTTGAAATTTACTATTGAATAAAGTTTTATGTTGAAAACTAAGTAGTTTATATTTAGCTACGATCTATTATAGCACGAAAAATTGTAGTTGAAAAGGTAAGTTTATGAAAAGGCATTTGTGACTGGCAACACTGTAGTAAGCAACACTGAGGGCTCCAGTAATCGACAAAATTCTGCGTTTAAGTATACGTTCTGCGTTCTTGACTAATTTCGGCTTTAGAAGTTTATACTCGAGCCATGATCCAACTCACTCTAATTGGTTCAAGTACTCGAGTACCTTTACTAAGTACCGAGTATTTTTTGTACTTCGATCCCGTGTACAAGTACCTCATGGGTATCGAGTACAAAGTGCAAGTAGTTACTTGTTTGCTGGGAAAATCAACTGAAAATAGATCTGTTGTAGTTTTTGAAAAAAAAATGAACCACTCGATTTCGCTAGGGTTAAAACTTACGAAAGTGGAGAACAAAAATCGTATCGAATTAGAGGAGGATGTGGAAGCAGCCTATGATTTGCGGAATCATCGTATACAGATCATTTTGAAACCGAAGAATCAAACACAAGTAAACAATGAGCTTTCTCATCACTTAACATCTATTTCAGCACATCGAAGTAACCCCATTTCAAAATAGAAGGATATGAAACGGCATTTTCAGCTCTTCATAAGCCTTTCTCCACTGTATGTAGTCATATTGTAAATGGGCATTGAATTAAAATTTCTTTTGTTTGAGTATTTCCTAGCGATACTTCAAGTAGCAGCGAGTAATCTCTTCGATACTTTTAATGAGTACAGGCATCGAGAACGTGGTGGTATTGGACGAACACTAGGTAGATAGTGGAATAGTAGAACTGTGTAAAAGTATGCTCACACATAAATAACAAAAAAAAACACATAAATAAAATCTTGATCAAAGCTTTTGTTTTTATCACCCCACAGGCAAATCTAAGATTATGAGCTGTAAAATTTTTTGTGCTTGTTATTCTCTAATCCTAAGGAAAAGTTAAGTTCATTCTCTGTGCCACCGTGATCACCTTTTTCTACTATATTGAACAATTTAAATATATTTTAACCAAAGAACGTAAATCTATAAGAAGAGACAACACGTTATAATTGTAAGGAGTGGGAACATCAGGAGCGTGCTTTCTCTTTTACCCAAATACGTTTTGTGGTTGGATGAAAAGAGAAGGCACGCTCCTGATGTTCACACTCGCTACAATTATAACGTGCTGTCTCCTCTTATAGATTTACGTTCTTTGTTTTAACAAAATATTTGTTTAAAAATACCTGTGGCAATAATTCCAGCCTTTCCACGAAATTCGCTGTCAAATTGAAAATGTGGAATTTTATTTCTAGTGTGAACAACCAGAAAGACCTTTATGTCACATTTCGTGCTGCACTAGCAGTCTGCAATTCGCCTTTCGGAAGTAAAAAACCTCTTTCGAACGACACTTTACATGCATGGTGTGAATGCTCATGCAACTGCTTTCTGAAATTTCTCAATTTGACAGCGAAATATATTGCATTGCCAATTCTGACACGTTCTAGACATATTCTCAATTGTCCTGTTTCAAGGTATTCACACATCTACGCGATTCTGCCGCAACGAATCCGCACCGTTTTTCATGCCACAGGCGTTACTGCTTCGAAGTACACACACATTTCTGCGATTTTATCACAGTAAAAACTGTCAATTTATAGACAAACAAAAAATATTTGTAAACAAAAACAAAATTCTTAACTTTTCTACATCAAATATGTTTTGTTTTCTTATGTTTAATTTTGTTTTAATATTGTAAAATCTTTCTATTGACCTTTTTCGTTCTTAAAACGTGGCAGTCTGCGATTCCGGCACGACGAAAAGTAGAACTGTAATATTGCATTTACATTGGACCCAAATGCGTTTTTTTGAACTCAGTCATGAAGGCGTTTACTCGGCTTGATTCATGTTTCGTTTGACTTCTCATCAATTGAAAACGGAAAAGAAAACCAAATTGAATCTAAACAAACACTGCACGCCTCATATTTTTTAACACGTTATGGACACATAAGAGGGCAATTATTATTTGCATTAACTTAAATTGTGCGAATTTATGCGTAAATTAACAATTTTTATACACAAACATCAGAGATTTATTTATAACTTTGAGTTTGTTTTGATTTGAAAAATTCAAAATGTCAAAAACAAAAGCTTTTGGAGAGCTTTTGTTTTTGAGTGTGTTCAATAAAATAGTTCGGCAATTGGAACGCATTTTGAAATCTGCATTTGCGTTGAATTGCTTAATTTTGAAAATGCGAATTTGTATGGAGAAATGCCTGATTTGCTTTCGCGTTTCAGATTTCTCGCCCAAATGACGAACGATTTCGAACTCCCGTAAATGTACATTTGCTAAATGCGATCATGAACCAAAAATACAAGCTCACAGGCACCACTACTTTACACTTATCTATAACTAAAATAGAGTTAATTCAACATGACAAAATCGACTTTTTTCACTCTCTTGTTATTGCGTGATTTTGTGTCGTTCGTTCCTAAAATGCGATAGTATGAACGCTCATCGAAAACGAAAACGAAAGTGCTAATTGTTGCGTTTTAATTGTAGCAAAAACGCCTACATCAGATGCGAGTACAAAAAGTACTCAGTGCTTGAAGAATGTATCGAGTATTTACTCGTAGTTACTTGTATCGGAGCATCACTAGTCGTGGCTGTCGTACTCGCGTAGTCATCGTCATTGGTGATTTTCGTAGAAATGCGTTGCAATGTTCAGAAATTGTTTTTAAATTAAAACTTCTGAAATAATTCGCTAATTTGTTTGAGTCAAAATTGTGTAGAAAAGTTGGCGGATGATCAGTAAACAAAAAAGAATAAAATACAAATGTGTTGAAAATACCTAAATTTGGATAAAATGTGCGAATAAACTATAAGAAAACTTCAGACAGGAAAACAAGGTTAAAAAAGGTGGGGAAGAAGTTCAAGTGGAAAATAGAAATCAAAAGAAGAATAAGTCTAAACAAAAGAAGGAAATTGGTATATTGAAGAAACGCAGTGATAATTTCCATTTCGATTCGTAATTTCAGCAGCCGGGGAAAGTTGTGCGTGAGCTTTAATTAAGGTTCTACAAGTGAAATATACATATAAGAAACTTCGAAGTGTCGACTGCTTCATGGTGGGATTGAAACCATTGTGAAAAATATGCAGAGCTGGCACAGCCCTAAAACCGCCATAATAATTTAAAGGGAAGCAGAAACAATAGAAATAAAAAAAAAAAAATTGATTCCGTCAGTCACTGGCCATAAAACCAGAAATATAAAAACGCTTTCATAACTAATCCCAAAGTGTCGATTATTGTTTAGTATGGATGAAGACGACAATGCATCCAGTGGTGGTGACACAAACCGTGAATCAATTTCTAATGCTAGAGTTGAAGCAGGTGGCTTGCGAAGCATTGATATTTCTAATGCGGAAACAACCACAACGGAAGAAGATGAGTCCGACGATGTGGATATTTCAATGGTAATGAACTTACCATCTGGTGTGTCTATTAGCACTTCAGTTAGTTCAGATGGGCGATCGCAGCCTACTTACATCGCCACTGCGACTGCATCGGCACCCGGACGGGTTTCACTCGACTTCCCTGATTGGGAATCTGTGGGTGCGACAGAAGCGGATGACGACTTGCTCACTGATGCTTCCTCAAACGCCTCGAACTCGGCTACTACTGCAGGGAATCCGCCTGGTAGCGCTGGAGGAGCTAAGCCTAGCTTTTTCTTTGGTACATCATCATCATTTAGTTTACGAAGTCGCAAAGAAGTTGCCGCTCTTATTAACGCAGAGTGCTGTCGTGGTGGAATAACACCTGAGTTGGACGCCGTTATGGACAAACTTTTCAATCCAGGAACACCTATAGACAATGCAGATAATATAGAGTGGATTCGATGGTTAATTGCTGGTGGCCGCACCCCTCAAGAATTCGTTAAAATTGGTAAGTTTTCAATATCATACAAAAGGTTCAGACTTTTTAGGCATTATAAGTACAATTCTTAACTGAAAAAAAATTATAGGGAAGATCGAAATTATTTTTGGACCGGATTAAAAAAATTAGTAATAGCAAATACATACATATGTATGTATCAGATCTGTAAAATGATTTAATCAGTAGGATTTGCATTCACTCGGCATTCTTTTCAAAATTTTGATTTTATAGAAAAAACCCCATACCTCAGTGGTTTAAATTATTTTGAAACAAAAACAAACGTAATGTGTTATTGAACGGCAGAGTTCAATTCAGCATAGAGTGTGAATGTAACAGAAGCATTCAACATCACCGTGATTGTAAATTTTGGCAAACACTTGATCATTCAGTACTACACTGAAAAAGTACGCCTTGA